AATATCATCTCGAAGTAATTTAAAATAAAATATCGAATTTGGGAGATGATAATCTGCGGCCCTGGGAAGCTGCGATGTAGCTTTCTGTCAAATTCGCGACGATAAAAAATTGCCTCTTCAGATATAGATGAGGAATATTTCTGAGGCATCCCAATTTTTTTTTTCTTACTGACGGCAGATCCTCGTGACGTTCACCGGGCCTGGCGATACAGTCGATCTGGTCGGCGATGGCTTTGCCAAAAACCACAATTTCCAGGAGGCTGTTAGCGCCCAAGCGATTAGCACCGTGAACGGAGGCACACGCGCTTTCGCCGGCTGCCCAGAGACCTTCGATCGGTCTGTCCTCCTCGTTTTCTCGTGTTAATACCTGACAAGGTGTTATTTATCGAGATACAATTACGACGTCAAACAACCACATCATAAAGCCTAGTAATCAAATTACTTCTATTATCTACTAAGCGTATTTACTTACTTCGTACAAATAACAACGGATAATTTGCTTTTGTCAATAACACAAAATATGATTAAAATATAATTATATTAATAATAATAATGATTCTATAATATAACATATTTGTTTGATTCAGAAATAAATGAATAAAATAAATTTAAAATAATACAGAAAATAGCGAGCAAAATATCACAATCGACTCGAAATTGGTACTCATTTTTACGATTAAAGATAATTATAATAACGGTTAAATAAAATATGCATTGATTATAAATTGCGTTTCTTACTTGCGCACGCCAATTTGTAGGTACCCCGCCCATGTTATAATGCACCGTGGGAATCACGGGAATCGGTTGCTCCAACACATTCACTCCGGCGAACACCCAAGAGAGGTGCGAAATTCCGGGCAGCTTCTCGCGTATCAGCTGGGCCGGCAGGTGACTTAATTGCAAATAAATATGATCCTTTTTTTCTCCGACGCCTCTGAGAAAAATAACGTGTAGGAATATACATTTTCTACGGCGTCTCGTTGTGCGTCACATGTTCTTATGCAACTAATGCGTAACTAATTTGGCGTAACCAACAGCGCATTCCAACAAAAAGCCTATTTGATGGATGGACTCAACAGAAATTGTCACTTACTTGTAAAATTGTTTTATATTTTTATTTTCGTTTAGAAAAATTTATTTAG